AAGCATTTTGGGCCATTACCAGTCCATCCTGGTTCATTAAGGTCATTTGAACTATTATTGCTGGTTAAGATAGAATGCCGAGGGCACTTAAGGAGATAAACTTACCAATAACACACCTTTAATAAATCCCTAATTTTTAAGAAGGTGTTGGTGATCCAGCTGTGATATATCTGAAGACTTAAATATCCTTGACCCTAATTGATCTGGTTGAAGACATGGAATGGGACAGAAATTACATTGGTGGGACTAGTCAGTATTCTCCTCCTATCAGTGGACCAGGAAAATATATCAATGCTGTTTCATTTAGGTTTGTTACCAGCCTCTGATACCGTTGACCATGAAACGTTGACATGTCTGTGGTCCCTAATGGGGTGAATAAAGTTGCATTGAAGTGAATCAAGGCCTTTTAATACTACAGTGTGTAGAGAGGAATTATGGGCAGTTGCTCATCTGCGGTGAGGGGCTCGTACTGTGGTGTGCCAGCAACGCCATTGTGTTACCTGTGTTGTTTAATATGCATATGAAACCCTTATCATGTCATTGGATGCCCTGTTTACAGTAAGTAGATACCCAGCTTATGTCTCCATTTCATCTGATCCAACAGTGGTCAATACCAGGTGCCCCAGAGGGAATGAACCTAACAGGCAATGATCAAGTGATCTCTCTCCTGCCATCCATCTCCATCCTCTGACAAACAGAGGCTAGGGAAACCATTCCTTACCCATCCTGGCTAATAGCCATTAATGGACTTAACCTCCATGAATTTATCTAGTTCTCTTTTAAACCCTGTTATAGTCCTAGCCTTCACGACCTCCTCAGGCAAGGAGTTCCATAGGTTGACTGTGCACTGTGTGAAGAAGGACTTCCTTTTATTTGGTTTAAACCTGCTGCCCATTAATTTCATTTGGTGCCCCCTAGTTCTTATATTATGGGAACAAGTAAATAACTTTTCCTTATTCACTTTCTCCATACCACTCGTGATTTTATATGCCTCTATCATATCCCCCCTTAGTCTCCTCTTTTCCAAACTGAAAAATCCTAGCCTCTTTAATCTCTCCTCATATGGGACCTGTTCCAAGCCCCTAATAATTTTAGTTGCCCTTTTCTGAACTTTTTCTAGTGCCAGTATTTCTTTTTTGAGATGAGGAGACCACATCTGTATGCAGTATTCAAGATGTGGGCGTACCATGGATTTATATAAGGGCAAAATGATATTCTCCGTCTTATTCGCTATCCCTTTTTTAATGATTCCTAACATCTTGTTTGCTTTTTTGACAGCCGCTGCACACTGCGTGGACGTCTTCAGAGAACTATCCACGATGACTCCAAGAACTCTTTCCTGATTAGTTGTAGCTAAATTAGCCCCCATCATAGTGTATGTATAGTTGGGGTTATTTTTTCCAATGTGTATTACTTTACATTTATCCACATTAAATTTTATTTGCCATTTTGTTGCCCAATCACTTAGTTTTGTGAGATCTTTTTGAAGCTCTTCACAGTCTGCTTTGGTCTTAACTATCTTGAGCAGTTTAGTATCATCTGCAAACTTTGCCACCTCACTGTTTACCTCTTTCTCCAGATCATTTATGAATAAGTGGAATAGGATTGGTCCTAGGACTGACCCTCGGGGAACACCACTAGTTACCCCTCTCCATTCTGAAAATTTACCATTTATTCCTACCCTTTGTTCCCTGTCTTTTAACCAGTTCTCAATCCATGAAAGGATCTTCCCTCTTATCCCATGACAACTTAATTTACATAAGAGCCTTTGGTGGGGGACCTTGTCAAAGGCTTTCCGGAAATCTAAGTACCCTATGTCCACTGGATCCCCCTTGTCCACAGGTTTGTTGACCCCTTCAAAGAACTCTAATAGATTAGTAAGACATGATTTCCCTTTACAGAAACCATGTTGACTTTTCCCCAACAAGTTATGTTCTTCTATGTGTCTGACAATCAGGGGCGGCTCTATGTATTTTGCCGCCCCAAGCACAGCAGTCAGGCAGCTTTTGGCGGCATGCCTGCGGGAGGTCCGCTGGTAACGCGGATTCGGCGACATGCCTGCGGGAGGTCCGCCGGTCCCGCGCCTTTGGCGTACCCACCGCCAAATTGCGGCCGAAACCGCGGGACCGGCGGACCTCCCACAGGCATGCCGCCGAAGGCAGCCTGACTGCTGCCCTCACGGCAACCGGCAGGCCGCCCCCCGGGGCTTGCCGCCCCAGGCACGTGCTTGCTGCGCTGGTGCCTGGAGACGCCCCTGCTGACAATTTTATTCTTTACTATTGTTTCAACTAATTTGCCCGGTACTGATGATAGACTTACTGATCTATAATTGCCGGGATGACCTCTAGAGCCCTTTTAAAATATTGGTGTTACATTAGCTATCTTCCAGTCATTGGGTACAGAAGCTGATTTAAAGGACAAACCACATTCTTTCAGAACTCTTGGGTGAATGCCATCTGGTCCTGGTGACTTGTTACTGTTAAGTTTATCAATTAATTGCAAAACCTCCTCTAGTGACACTTCAATCTGTGACAATTCCTCAGATTTGTCACCTACAAAGGATGGCTCAGGTTTGGGAATCTCCCTAACATCCTCAGCCGTGAAGACTGAAGCAAAGAATTCATTTAGTTTCTCCGCAATGACTTTGTCATCTTTAAAGTGCTCCTTTTGCATCTCGATTGCCCACGGCCCCACTGGTTGTTTAGCAGGCTTCCTGCTTCTGACTTATTTAAAAAACATTTTGTTATTACCTTTTGAGTTTTTGGCTAGCTGTTCTTCAAACTCCTTTTTGGCATTTCTTATTACATTTTTACACTTAATTTGGCAGTGTTTATGCTCCTTTCTATTTACCTCACTAAGATTTGACTTCCACTTTTTAAAAGATGCCTTTTTATCTCTCACTGCTTCTTTTACATGGTTGTTAAGCCACGGTGGCTCTTTTATAATTCTTTTACTGTGTTTTTTAATTTGAGGTATACATTTAAATTGGGTCTCTATTATGGTGTCTTTGAAAAGTGTCCATGCAGCTTGCAGAGATTTCACTCTAGTCACTGTACCTTTTAATTTCTGTTTTACTAACCTCCTCATTTTTGCATAGTTCCCCTTTCTGAAATTAAATGCCACAGTGTTGGGCTGTTGAGGTGTTCTTCCCACCACAGGAATGTTAATTGTTGTTTTATTATGGTCACTATTTCCAAGCAGTCCTGTTATAGTTACCTTTTGGACCAGATCCTGCGCTCCACTCAGGACTAAATCAAGAATTGCCTCTCCCCTTGTGGGTTCCTGTACCAGCTGCTCCAAGAAGCAGTCATTTAAAGTATCGAGAAAATTTTGTCTCTGCATTTCGTCCTGAGGTGACATGTACCCAGTCAATATGGGGATAATTGAAATCCCCCACTATTATGGAGATTGGGACTTGGATGAGGATTAACGGGTAAAGGTTGAATCCAGATAAGACTGTAATAAAGTTATTAATAGTAATAAGATTGTAATAAATATAGTAAACTAGGGACACAACTGTAAGAATTGGTGATAGTTGTATCAGTACCCATGATTGAGAGTGTACAATTACAAATAATGACACAGATTCACAATTCAGGTGACTTACTGGAGCTAGTGAATGCATAAAATAATAATAAAATAAGAATTCAGACTGGTGTATATATGAAAAAAATCTTAAAGTACACATATTTAAGGTTTTTTCATCATTGAGAGAAGTTACTGTTGTCTGAATCTGATTGCTTCAGGATAGCTGAACTCGTATGACTTACACAAATTTTCTGACATTTTAAACAGAAGGTTTCCCTTGGATGGAGCCATTTGTTCCAGAGTAATCAGTTCGAAGACAGAAATTAACAGGAAGATGGTTTCTGTAACAGACCATTTCCCTGGAATAAAGAACACTTCCAAAAACACATTGAACATATCTAGCAGGTGCTCATTAATAAGGAGGTATCAGAATTCCATCCCAAATTTGTCTGAAAAATTATAAATTCTTAATAACGTCAGCAACTTCCTGGATAATAACAATTATACCAGCCTGGTAAACTCCTACTCATTTAACTGCCTTAAACGAGGTTGGGTTTTGTTTTTGTTTGTTTTTGTTTGCGGGGGGGGACATGGAAATAAAATACAATTAATTCTTTCATAATTATCATCATCATGGTTAGGGGCAGGCATGATTTTGTGCCTGGGCTGGTAAATTCTTATGATAATTTTTCAAGGCAGAATTATAATGTATAATAAGTGTGTAGTTCTTGTCAAAAAAGGGGATTTCTAATGAATTAAAGGAAGAGGGTGAAATTCTAGCAAACCATATATCATATCTTGATTTCAATGGCAACCTTTAATATGAAATAATCTATTGTGAAAAATAACATCTCAGATCCTGAGAATACTGCTCTATCTGTTTTACAAGTACCACAGTTGTTTAACCCTAATCTTCAGATTTATAAGGTGCACTTTTCTATATAAATTTGAAAGAGACATTAGCATCTGTTTCAGAGTAGCAGCCGTGTTAGTCTGTATCCGCAAAAAGAACAGGAGTACTTGTGGCACCTTAGAGACTAACAAATTTATTAGAGCATAAGCTTTCGTGGACTACAGCCCACTTCTTCGGTATGCATCCGAAGAAGTGGGCTGTAGTCCACGAAAGCTAATGCTCTAATAAATTTGTTAGTCTCTAAGGTGCCACAAGTACTCCTGTTCTATTAGCATCTGTATTCAGGGATCTGTTTTCAAAGAGTGAGCCACTCCTGTAATTCAGGAAAATTCTGGAATGCCATCAAGATGATGGTGATATGCTCCAATCCCACTATTTTATCAAGAAAGTAAACCTGGTACAATGTTAACAATTCAGATAAAGAGATAATGACGAGGAGCATAGACTACCTTTAATTACAGCTCAGTTTGCCAGCAAGGACAATAATAAAACCTTTCTCTTAGAATAGTAAATTTCTTCTGCGTAGTGATCATTCATTGGTATAATCTCTTTTTCTCTACAGAATTGTAGAAGACTGTAGGCTATTGCCCCTCAGGAAAGCCTTATAGCTGCTTCACAACACACAATATGGTTGTCTGCCTGAAAGGTATTATTATTAGAAAAAAAGTCCAATTGCATTAATAGATATTTTTAAACTGATTGTCATTAAAGAACTTAGAGTAAATCTCTAAGAACAGCATATAGTTCTGGAAAGCAAGGTTCAGTGTTGATAAACATGATGTGAATTATGACTATTATCCAGATTCTTGGAATAAACCTTGTTTCCGAAGGACTGAAAATGTATCCCTCATTGACTAGGTCATTGAAATTAAGTAATTAATGCATAGTACACTTCCAGTATGAATTTTCAGAGAAATAATCATTTGTGTTAAAATCGGTAAAACTTTTAGAATTTATATATATTTTCATGAATAAGTGTTGATCACATGAATATACAAGGAATAATATAATCCAATGAACGAAAGCAAAGCAAATTCACCATGTTTCTTAAAAAGAAAAAAATAGTGAGTGTATTAAGTTATTTAGTTTTTTTCTCCCAAGATTTTAGTGACTTGTTTTTCTTTATTTCCGTATGATGTAAAAACACGGAATAAATATTTACTGGTAGTGTGTTATTCAGCCAGTAGATGTCTCTCTAGAATTCCAAGCACAAGTGTGGCTCCTGCTAAACGTAGGAAACAAAACTGGAACTCAAGTTGTCTGGATGTCTCTTTGTAATTTAGAGTCTGTAATTATTTTTTTTAATAGATACCTCCTGTTTATGATGGACTGCAATTCCCTATATCATGGCACATGGGATCAGCCTGTAACACAGCCTCTCTTCTTTTCTTGACAAGACTCTGAATGGTTTGTAATGTCTTCTATTGTGCGATAAGGAATAAAAGAGGAAAGCTTTCAAAATTGTGCCTCATTGAGGTTTCAGAAATGATGCTGCATTCTCCCCACTTATTCTCCACCATGTAGGATGGATAAGCAATTGCCTGGAAGGGGTGCTATTAACTACATGCATCCCAACAATCGGTAGGGATTCATGATGCCAGCTAAATGGCTGTCCAGAGAGCCATACTGAGTGTTTGCTCATTTGTATGCCATTCTGGTCTCCCACACTTTTGACAGCATGGCCAGTACAGTTGGTTGAGCTGACATGAGTCTTGTGGCCTGTTTCTGTACACTAACTTCACCAGTTGAGGTGAGAAGAGACCATGGAGTGACAGTTAATGCTGTTCTCAGTAGCAGTAACTTCAGTAACATTTCTTGAGTACGTTGAGCATAGAATGACTATATGGTCATGTTGTTATCATGCTCACCTAAATGATTAATATGTTAGTAATACAATAAAATGATAATGGAAAAAAGTAGATGAACTTTGCTAATTTTAACTGAAAATAAAAATAACGTTACTATTGCAAATACTGTTTCACTCATTCACCTCTGTTGACCTAAAGTTGCTTGCTGCTTTTTTGTTGCTATTTTAGTAATAATTCATATCTATTGAGCTGCAGTTTATTATAAGGTTACCCAAGACAAACTGCTCCATTTCCTCTATTATCCAAACAGAATAGTTTATGGTCAGTCTGGTCAGGATCAAATTCAAATGGTCTTGAAGTCGAAAGGGATGATGATGACTTGAGCAAACCATTTTTGTAATCTTTAAATTCCATTTCTAAAAAAATAAATTGGCTACAGTTTATTATGGGTATATGGCAATATTTTGCAAGGGCAAAACCGAGAGTGTATTATGTGTTTTGACTCCGTCTCAGGACGGATGGCTTGTACTTGTAACAGGGTTTGTGTTACAGTCTGTTTTCTTAAAGGATTTTCTTCCTATTGCTGTGTATGTATGTGCATATCTATGCCCCCACTCAGAGTGTGAATACGCATAAGGCCTGATCCAAAGCACACTGAAGTCAATTGGAGTCTTGCTGGTGGTTTCAGTGGGATTTGGCTCATGTCCATAGAAAGGAAAGAACTGTATGAGTCCTATTTCTGTATACTTTGTGTGTTCTTATGTGGAGTGCAGGGAAGCCAATACATTAAAGAATTTTGCAATCTGTTTGTGGACAATTCACCAGCAAGAACAAAAGCAGTGTTCATCAGATAAATTATTATTTGTACATTATTTGTTGAGCTCTAGCAAAGTGTGTATTCCCACTGAGTGAAACATATACCATGTCTTGTACTGTCTTGGCAAGAATGTAGGTGCCCTTTCAGTCCATTTTACAGAGCTGAGGCCCATGGTGGTCTCATATTCAATAATCTATGAACACACACTGGTAAAGGCCACTTTAATTGCTGGCCAACTTTCCTTTCTCGATTAACCCCTTCTCTACACACACACTCACTCACTCTCACTCATCATTCTGTAGCAGATGGAAAGAAAAAGTCCTGGTCCTACTGGTGCACCACTAAGTACTCCATCTCTGTTCCCTTGAAAACTCTTCATACTGAGTGGGAAGGCAATGGGACTTCCTTTAGCTTTTCCTAAAGACTAAGAATAGGGGGAGGATTCAACTGCCTTCAACACCCATCACTTCATAAAGAAAGAAGGGGTAAACATCTACCTGCCCAAAATAGTCACCTACAAACATTTGCGGGGGTACAGCCTCTTGGCTAGAGAGAATTCCTGTGGAGATGTGACCAGGAGCTACGAAAGGGTTCCATGTTTGGCCAAATGCTCTGTGAGACATACCTTTCACCTTTGCCTGGAGTTTGCTTTCACAAAGAAATTTGGAACTAAGTGAGTTTTGATACACAACTTTCATTTTATTATTAGTTGTTAATTGTATTACCATAGAGCTTAGGAGCACCAATCATGGCCAGACCTCATTGTGCTAGGTGCTGTACAAATAAAGAACAAAAAGACAGTTCTTTCCCCTAAGAGCTTACAAACTAAGTCAAGACAACAGATGGATACAGACTGATGGAGGAGTACAAGGAAATAATGGGACAATATTGGTCAGCATATTAGGCAGTGGTCTCAGCTCAAGAACCTAGCAATCCTCCTCTGATCTTGAGACATAATGGTTGCTTGTTGCTGAGATGACTCACCAGCTCTCTGTTGCGTAGATTTCTTCATATTTCGATATAAAATATTATTGTAAAAAAGAATATTAATTGTTTTCAAATGTGACTTTCTCTGGGATGTAATGAAAACACCTACTTACTGGGATGATTAAAAGCTATTGTAAAGAGTTTCACAAAGGAAGTCATTTTCATTGTGCAACAATATCAAACCTTACTTGTGTTACCAAACCTAGAAACTATGCTATTCATTTTTAAGCACCATATACTGGCATATTTTCTAACAGAAAACTACTTACATGTACACAGACATAAAGCATCCTTGTAACACAGATATTATTAGAACTACTATAATGAAATCCCATCCAAAACCTGTCCTACTAGCCTAGGGCCAGTTTGAAACCTGTTGCATGCACTCATACAGCAGACTAAAGTGTGTGTGTGAGGGGGAAGCATTTAAGGCTACATCCACAAAGGGACCTAGGTGCTTATCTACCACTTTAGGCACTGAATGCAACATTTAGGAGGCACTGATATCCTCAAAATCCCTGCTCAGCTGCCGCCTAACACTGTAGATGCCTAATTCCCTAGGAACCTGTCTTCTGATGGTGGTCATGCACAAAACTTCTAAAGACCCGACACTGCTGAGCTGCTCAGTACCCTAGCGTGCTTCTCAAAACTAGGTATTCTCTTGCTCATCTCATCTCATCTCATCTGCAAGACCTGATCTGATAGGCATTCTCGGAGCATACCTAGCCTTCACAAAAGGAATGAGTGAGTTAGCTGAGTGGCTACAATCTGGGATTTGGGATTTGGAGAGCTGGCTCCAAATCAGGAAGAACGGGGATTCAAACATGGGTCTCTTATATCCTGTCTGAGTGCCTTAACCAATGAATTATTGCCTATAATAGGTGAGTGGTGGGGAGATGTAGCTCTCCTGCTGATGCACCTTAGCCACCTAACTCCAGGAAAGGATTCATGGCTGTGAATCTTGAACACAGGGAGGTGTTTCCTTTGGGCCAGGAGTCAGGCACCTTTGAGAGGTTGAGGTTAGTCCCTGCCCCTGACCTTGGCATTTCCTACCGGCTAGCTTAGGGGCTCCCTGCTCAGGGCGCTGACTTCTGAGAATCCCATTCTTTGGTATCTATCTCTTCCCCTGCACTCCACAGTGAGCCCAGGCACATAACTCATGTCTGAGAACTCACTGGCTGGCAGGGGATCTGAAAGTTAGGAATTGCAACATCTAAGTATCTTTGTGGATCTAGACCTTACTCCCCTGTTTGTGCTACCTCATAACACTAATAACAGTGCAAAAGGATAGCAGACTCCATGGCCCTACTATCCCTCCTCCTATACATGTGGGTGGAGTCTTAACTCACCATGAAAAAATGGCCTGGGGTGCAGGCCTCCCTAATATCCTTTAATCCAGTTGTTAGAACACTCACCTGAGAGATGGAAAATCCATGTTCAAATCCCTTCTCCACATGGCGGGGGGGGTGTGTGTGTAATTGAATACCCACATCCTGGTTGAGTGCCCTAACCACTGAGCTAAAGGTTATAAGGGAGGCACCTCTCTTTCTTTCTCCCTTCCCCCAAAGCCCAGCACTGCCTGCAAAAAAACCCACCCAACCAAAAAAAAACAAAGCAACAACAATTGCTTGGATGCCTGACTGTAGGAGAGGGTACATGTCTGAGAATCCCAAGCAGAGATAGGCTTCTCCTGCTGGCTCAGACTTAGATGCATAAGTGCCTCTGAGTATGGACCCACCCCTCTCCTCAGCATTTCCTATTGGCTCGCTTGTGCTGGATTTTGTGGATCCCATTTTTAGGTGCCTAACTCTCCCTATACATTGCATATGGTGCCACTAGACTCCTTGTTGTTTTTGTAGATACAGACTAATACGGTTACCCCTGATACTTGACATATGGAGCCTAGACACCTAACTCGGTTGTGGATTCCACAAGGTGTCAAGGTATCTAAAATGTAGGTGTTACAGTGCTCCACCTTGCCACACCTAGGCCTGTCTGTGGATCTAGCTTGGAATCTCTGAGTTACAAGGAAGTGTTAAATGTTCCATAAATGAAACGTTACTTTGTGAGATCCCCCCCCCACCTTCAAACACAGAGAGTAAGTAAATTTCACATACCAAATTCAGTTTTAATAAAATTTAAGATTGAGAACCAAGTGAGGAAATGCAAGTATGATAAAAGTATACGGCATATCTTAAAATACACCCAGCACTGCTCAGTACATTAGAAGTACAATAAGGAGGCTTCACATTTTAAGACATATTCTGCATTTCTAAATTAAACATATATTTACCTACTTTTTTTTAGGGCTTGCCCATTGACACAGCAAGCTGGGGTGTAAATCTATAGAGCACTGTCTTGCCACAGTGCACTATAGAATTTTTAGTACATGGTTGCAGGCCAGTTAGTACACAGCAGGCTGGAGCACTGTACATTCAGACCCTGGCTTGGTCTGTGCTAACTCACCGTATAGACAAGCCCTTAGATTCTGATCACAGTCAAAACGATTTTAAAGATTAGTTTAATTTCATTTAAATTATGAAGGATAAAGAGTATCCTGGGTAATTTTTCCTTTATAAAGAATTGTTGAAATCTGTCACTGAGAACAAATCAGTTATGTGAGTAGAAGTGACTTCATTGGATCCTAACATAATTGCATGGGTAGCTCAGGTAGGGCACGTCTTCACTACCCGCCAGATCGGCAGGTAGCAATCGATCTTAGATAGATCCCGATTGAGCAGAGCACTTAAATATGTGCTTAACTTTAAGCATGTAAATAGTCTCCTTGATTTCAACAGTATTACTCATGTGCTTAAAGTTAAGAACCTTCTTAAGTGCTTTTCTGGGTCAGGGGCATACAGCAGTAAGACTGAAATAACATCCCCTCAGCTTAAGCTTAAAATATCCAGATATTTTATTTGGAACTGGATCATATACTGGTCTAATGCTAAGGGAAATGTGCATTCATTACAGTTCCTCCCTTAATTTCAATGGAAATTAGTTCCTGATCTATTCAAATGTAATGAAAATGTAACAAATACCTTTAAAAACTGGCCCTAGAAGGCCCTGTACCTTTAGTGTTATTCTCTCAAAGCTATTCTCATACCATGCACTTGATTTCCTAAGCTCAAGTGGGTAGCTCAGGTAGGAAGTCTAATGTGCTCTGGAGGTTCTCTGGGTCAGAGGTGCCTGAGTTGTCTCTGCCATTCTGCAGGAAACCTCAGAATTAATAAGCCCAGCATTTAGGGCCTTATCCATTGCTCACTGAAGTCAGTGGGAGCTGAATTGTGCCCAGAGGTCCTTAACTCAGTCATTATTCAGGCAAATGCCTACTGACTTCATTAGAAATCTGCATGAGTAAGAAACTGAGTATGGAACTTAGGGACATGACTTCTAGTTTATAATGCAGACCTTGACTCAACAATATCTACTATCCTGTTGTGAATGCAACATCAGAGGATAATAAGAAACATTTTATCGGCTAACACACAAGCTGGTGTGACAAAAGACCTTTTATATTCATTAACTGAGTGACTGCAATCCTATGGAACTCTTGGGATGGAAGGAAAAAAAAACCATCAACAACAAAATAAAACCCTAATGATTTCCATAACAAAAATTAAATGAATATGGCATGCACAGGGAGATTTAAAAGGAGGACTAACAAAACAAAAAAATGAAAGAAGGATGGGTGAAAATCTACACTAAAATCCAACAAAGCTGTTATGTCAAGTAAACAATGACACAAAATTACTCATTTCTCAAGAGAACAATTGTAATGAGAATGGGAAACTGGTAATAAATGAATTGTCTTAAAAATCTTCAGATCTTAATCATGTGATCCTCTTAGGATGCCAGAATCTAGTTTTCCTAAAGGCCTATTTAAGCATGTTCCATGGAAAAACCTATCTACCAGTAGGTGTCTTTTAACTTTATTTTGTCTTCAACCTCAAATAAAGATTAGAAGTATGGAATGAATTATTTAATATGTATTGGGGAATCAGGTGGAAAAACAGGGGATTGTGTCGCAATAAGATTTCTAGCTTATCCACAGGCTGCAGCATTTAATTAGGAATTTGGGTTTGAGAATCATAGCTTACTCAAAGTTTTACAAAATAGCTATTATACCTCATTGTGTATATGGAACTTTGAATTTTGGACACAATATTAGCTTAATTGTACACTGACTAACCAAAGAGTTACAAAAACAGATCAGCTCCAATATTAAGAACAGGTCATTCTAATTTTTTGAGGGGAAAAGACATATTTTTCATTTATTAAAATTTACCTTGGTCTTTAAAAATATGGCAAACTTTAAACACAAGAGTGTTTAAATGTGACTTCCATGGGACTAAATTCTTAAATCGGAATGGAAATGCTTAAATTTTAGGCACAGGCTTAAATAGCTGCTGAATTGGGGTCTAATTGACATCAGGATTTAAAGTTCCTACTCCAAGGAGTCGCCTTTAAATAGGATGTATCTTCCCATCTTCACTGATTTTGAACCAGATTCCATTTAAAAGACTAGAATGTCTTAAACATAACTAAGTGACTAACATTATCATAAAGACAGTATATAAAGAAAATGCATGTGCACATATGTGTCTTTGTCTGGAGACTCATATAGCAATATTAGGTGAGACTTCCTGAATCTTTGCAATGATGTACTTTATGGGGATAACTGGAAAGTTAAAAATGACCAGATGACCACTGAGGGGCATGAGAAACAGAGTACCAAGATAGAAAGTCTTTCTGTGAGAGAAATAGGAAGTATAGGGATCCCCTGCCTTCTGTTGGAGAAAGTCTCCTATTGTATTCCTAAAGCAGGGCCTGTGTAGCAGATAGTCTGGAGGACACATGGCAAGTGAAATAGAGGTGGTACTGGTCTCCAGGGTCTTTAGTTGCTGATCATTATCAGAGAAGTGGTCAGAGGCAGAATCTGTGTTGGAGACAAAAAAGTTTGACAGAGCAGGCTCTTCTTTAATGAAGTGGAGGAAGTCCACAAAAGTGATAGCAGAAACATAAGATGGAGTCCACAGACTGTATTGGGAATGGTATATGAGGGGGGATTCCTTGTAGCTGTTCATCACGGTGTGAAGTAAAAAAAACAAGACAAGAAGGAAAACCCTATTTATAGAGAACCA